GCGACAAAGCAAGACTCTGTCTCCAAAAAAAAAAAAAAAAGAGAGAAAGCAGGTAAGAAGGAAGAGGTAGCAATGGAGGTTACATAAGGCAGAGTTTAGGGCTTGGGCAGCAAGGTAAGTCTTTAGAAGAAGGTCAAGCACTTCTGTGACTACAGTCCAGAGAAGGTGCTGGGTGCCTGGGAAGGGAGCTTTGCCAATTCCGTAAGGGGGCAGGATCACACTGGTGGTATTTCTGTAGCCTTTTATTTCTGTAGCCTTTGGTTAATAAGTGTGTATTGCCTCTACAATCAGAAGGAAAAAAAACACACATATATTCTGTGCCATCCACAAGACAGAGCAGGAAATGGAGCCAGAGAAGTTAAGAGTCTGGAAAAGAAAGGATGCCAGGTTTGGGGTCCAACCATACTCTCAAACACCCCAGCTCTACAGAGATTTGCTCTTGCTACCTAATTAACATTCTAGGTTCCATAAGTAAATGAAGAACGCCAAAACGAAGAACCTCAAGAGAAAAAAAATCAGGGCACAAACTATAATCCAGTTCTCTCTGATCACCCTCAGCCCCTGCAGAAAATCAAAAGGGAGTGTAAATGGTGCATGGAGCTGGTATTTTAAGTTCAAGAGTGTTGTCCCCTCCACCCCCCTGCACCTTGCAAAAATATTTAAGTACACAGTACAGATTAGGAACAAAAAAAACCTTATGCCTTCAGGTACCAACATTTTCATTTAGGAATTTGGAGGAAAAGAAACACTGAATTATTCCACATGAAGATAAAAATGTCATACTATGTGACAGCCATTGATCCCTCTGATGGTAATGTGCCCTTTTTTTGTTTGTTTGTTTGAGACAGAGTCTTGCTCTGTTGCCCAGGCTGGAGTGCAGTGGTACGATCTCAGCTCACTGTTGCAGCCTCCATCTGCCGGGTTCAAGCAATTCTCCTGCCTCAGCCTCCCAAATAGCTGGGATTAGAGATACACACCACCATGCCCAGCTACCTTTTTTTGTTTTTTGAGACAGCGTCTCGCCCTGTCACCCAGGTTAGAGTGCAATGTAAGAGACTGCAGTTTGAGCTATACATAAAGTGATAATTATTGCATCACTGGCAGCAAAGATGCTGTCTGAAAGACAAGTGTGAGGGCACTATGCCAGGAAGCCCTAGCCTAGGTCAGCACCTTCACACCCTTACAGCTTTTCTCAGAAGGCTCTCTACCAGCTGCTGATGTTTTCACAATGGCTTCTGGCAGGGAAGCCAAATGAGGAGGGATCAAAAACAGCCAGGGATTGGAGGGACAGCAATCCATATTTTCCAAAGGCGATGCTGTGCGCTCCTTTAGGAAATGGAGACAATACCACCAAAATGCAGAAGATGACACAGTGAAGATTAAATGAGAAAAGATGTGTATGGTCCCTGTCACAGGTTAAGCACTCTATAAATACCTGTAATGATGATGGTGATAATGTTGATGGGTGTTTACAATTAAAAGAGATAGAAAGGCAAATAGAATTAATAAGTTCTATTAATTCACCTGCAGGTCGGGCTAGCTGGCTCACACCTGTAATCCTAGCACTTTGGGAGGCCAAGGTGGGAGGATCACTTTAAGTCAGGAGTTCAAGACCAGTCTGGCCAACATGGTGAAACCCCATCTCTACTAAAAAATGCAAAAATTAGCCAGGTGTGATGGCCCATGCCTGTAATCCCAGTTACTCAGGAGGCTGAGGCAGGAGAATCGTCTGAACCCGGGAGGTGGAGGCTGCAGTGGGCCGAGATTGTGCCACTGCACTCCAGCCTGGGGTACAAGAGTGAGACTCTGTCTCAAAAAAAAAAAAAACCTCACCTCTTAACCAGAATCCATCCACTTTCCTCATCCCAACTAACACTTCTCAGCCAAGGCCACAGCCAATTCTCATCTGGGCAATTGCTGTAGCCACCTAACTGGTCTCCCTTGTTAGCCTGCCATACCCCCTCCAGACTCTGACCTTCACAGCAATACAAGTGAAGGTGAAAGACAAAAGGCAAATCTGATCATATCACTGCCCTGCTAATACTCTTTCAGTGGCTTCCCCTGCCCTATGAATGCGTCTGCATTCTGTAGCAGAGATACCAGGCCCCAATGTGGCCTCTGTCTACACTCTCACCTGGTGCCATCAGATCCCTCTAGTCCATGATCATTACACTCCCCCTAACCTACCTGCCTTAGCACCTTCCTGGAGGCTGTTTCTCTGCTGGGAAGCTTCCTCTTGCTTAATCCTTCATCCTCCTCATTCAGATCTCACTCTAAATTTCACCTCTGCAAGGACACATTCCCTGGCCCTCAGACCAGGGTGGGAGGTCTCCCATTACAGCTCCCAAAAATGCCCTGAAACTCTCCTTGATGCATTTCTCAGTCTTGCAATTTTCTTAGTAATTTGTAGTTATTTAGTGGCTGCCTTCCCCAAAGCCCAGCTGCTCTGACTCATCACTGGATCCCCAGTGCCCAGCAGAGCATTTAGCATATGATGAGTGCTCAATAAGAATCTGCTAGCTGGCCGGGCGCAGTGGTTCATGCCTATAATCCCAGCACTTCGGGAGCCCAAGGCAGACGGATCACAAGGATAGGAGTTCGAGACCAGCCTGGCCAATATGGTGAAACCCCATTTCTACTAAAAATACAAATATTAGCCAGACATGGTGGTAGGCACCTGTAGTCTAGGCTACTCAGGAGGCTGAGGCAGGAGAATCACTTGAACCTGGGAGGCAAAGGTTGCGGTGAGTCAAGATCATGCCACTGCACTCTAGCCTGGGTGACAGAGTGAGACTCCATCTCAAAAAAAAGAATCTACTAGCTGACTGCCTAGGAAAGACTGGCATAGGGGACCTGAAGCCAGGAGTTTACTTCCATTCCTAGACACCTGGGTAGCATTGCTGCCTCCAGGCTTCTTAGTCTCTCAGGCCCTCAGCATCTGAGGGCAGCATAATCTGCCAGTGGCATCATCTGCAGGAAAAAAAAAAAAAACTGAGATTTTTGGCTACCCTGAGAAGAAATCGGCTGGTGAAGTTTATTCTGTCTTCACTCCATTCGTGCCCTGACTGTGATGACCAAAGACCCAGGCTGAACCCTGAATCAGCCAGGGTTCTGCCAGGAAACAGCACATGTAACTTGGGCAAGTTGAGAGTTTAATGCAAGGACCACCAATGTGTGGGCTGGGTATAGAGATATGAAAAGCAATGGTAAAGAACTCCAAGGCCAGTAACAGGAGAGGGGGAGCCAGCTACTACTCACAGACCTTAAGAGTCCAGAGAGAGAAGTAGTAGTCACAGAACCTTGAAACATCAAGGGCAGCTTTCTAGAAGTCAGTGCCTTCCACTGGGGGCAAAGCCAGCCTGCAATAACCTCTCAGGGAGGGATCGGAAAACATCAATACCCTGACTTCACTCTCCGCTCATGCCAATGCAACAGAAGCAAGATGGTCGGGCAGTTGGTATTTATTCCACACAGGGCAGCGACACAAGGTACAGAATAGGGCAGAGAGGCAGAAACAGAAGATATCTAACACATGCCGTCACCTCTGTGAAGCTGGCAGTTCAGTGTAGTGAAAATACAGAGGTTGGGCTCTGAAGTCAGGCAGACATGGGCTTGAATCAAGGCTCCTCAACTTCTGGCTATATGACCTTGGCAAAGGACTTACTGGCTCTGAGTCTCAGTTTACTTCTATAAAAGGAAAACGATAACATCTACTGCACATGCATTTAAAAATTACATAAGGCCAGGCACTGTGGCTCGAGCCTATAATCCCAGCACTTCAGGAAGCCGAGGCAGGTGGATCACTTGAGGTCGGGAGTTCAAAACCAGCCTGGCCAACAAGGTGAAACGTCATCTCTACTAAAAATACAAAAATTAGCTGGGCATGGTGGCAGACACCTGTATTACCAGCTACTCGGGAGGCTGAGGCACGAAAATCTCTTGAACTCGGGAGGCGGAGATTACAGTGAGCCGAGATCACGCCACTGCACTCCAACTTGGGCAACAGAGCAAGACCTCATCTCTTAAAAAACAAAAACAAAACAGTAAAGATTCCCAAAGACGATGCTCGTAAAGCACTGAGCACAGCACCTGGTACACAGTGAGTGCTTTCATTCATGGCAATCGTGTTACTATGACTCAACCTTCTCCACAACATCTCCTGTCCTGCCTCCATCCAGGACACCCCAGGAAAAAGAAAGAACCTGCCTGTTCCTGTTAAGGTCTGAATGACAAGCAAGGCCAAGAGGTCTGGACGTTACCAGGACTATGAGGAGTGGGGTGAAGGAGCAATGAAAGTAAGGCCTCCACTCCCCCGCCTCGCCATGCCTCCAGGGTGGCTGCCTTCCCCACCGGCAAGCTGGGGGTTACCGGGAGTCTCCCGAGTTTCTCTTATCTGTCCTTCATGCAGGCAGCTGAGCAAGAGTGGCCTCCTTAAGACAGTGGTCCAGCGGCGTGGATGCCAGCGTGGGCTTTGGCGTCAGAGAGACAGGCTTCTGCCACTTATCAGAAGCGCAAACAGGCAGGTTGCTTAGTCTCTCGGGGCGTCAGCATCTTCATCTGTGCAATGGAGACACTAAACGGAACCGATCTGATAGGGTTTGTGGGAGCATTAAATGGGATAATGACGTAAATAAAGCCCTGGCTCCTAATACTGCCACAATAAATGTCGGTATTTAATAATTATTAATAATAAACTGCTCATCACCAGAGGGTATGCCTCAGCAGCGCTCACCGCACGGTCCCTCCAGGCTACCAACCACCGGCTGAAGGCGGCCTGAACGCGGCCCAGCCTCTCCCGGGCCCCCTTCCGCCGGCCACGAGCGGGCGGTGAGCTCGGAGACAAGTCGGGGAGACTCGCCCGGGTAGAAGCTCCCGGGAAGACGCCAAGAAGGGGCGAGGCGCGCACCACTGGCCTTCGCGCAGGTCCAGAGCGTCGCCCGGGTGGACCTCAGCTCGCCCAGTTATCTCACGCACCGCCCCTGGCCCCGGCTCCCACTCACCCTCCGCGCCGCGGACAGGAAGCCCCAGCACACACAGCAGTACTTGCCACCAGCCTAGGAGCCGCATGACGCGGGGCGGTCGTCTACCGGCAGCCGGGACCACCGCCCAGGGCCGAAAAGAAACCGGCGCAGGGCTACGCGAGTGGTGCCGCCAGCCCAAGGAAGGCTGGGGGAGGAGAGCGGAGGAGCGCGGGCGCGGCCCCGCGCCGCCATCTTAACACCGGGCAGCTGTGGCGAGCGCCATCTTGGAGTCGGGCGGACGGCCTCCAGTCGCTGGCCGTCGCCGCAGGACTCGAGACCGCTTTAGGAGCTAAACGCCAGAGGCTACAGGTCGTTTTAAACTCTGCTGACCCCAGAGTCCAGAGCAGGTAGTATCTGGCAGAGGCCCGTGGCCTCCTTTCTCCCCGCGGAAATCAGGGCTTGGCTACTTGGATCACTGTGCCCGCCTAAGGAGTTTTCGACGCCTCATTCCCATTGCCAGAAAGGCCCAGTAGCCTTCCTGCTCTAGTGTCCCATCGAGGTGCAGAAACTTTGGAGTGTGCAAATCTTCTAATCCTGCCTTACCCGTGCTCTTCTACCTAGGGTTGCCACATAGAATACCAGCTACCCAATTATATTTGAATTTCACATAGTATTTTTTACCACAAGCCTTACCTTTAAGTGTCCTGTAACTTTGTGACATCTGACAACCCTAACCCTACCAATCTACTCAGGACAGGAGAGGTTGGTTTTAACTAATTCACGTGCAGGGCAATCTCGTTCTTTTTAAGCATGGTTGGTGCCATGAGCATCATTGGCTCTGGCTCATGGGGGTGGAAAAGCCACCTCGAGCATAAAGTAGATAGGAAAGGGCTTAGAATGAAGAAGGCATAGATGGGGAGAGGAGGAACAGGGCTCTGCATTCCCAACCAAACCCACAGAGTGGGAGTCTAAGAGAAACTTCTCAGAGGGAATAGAGAAGATGACACCAGTAATTAGGGTACTTTGGTGGGGAGGGCCTGCTAAAATGGAATAAGGCAAGTTTTAAGCAGCCACCAGTGCTAAATCAGTGCAGGGTGCAACTTTCAAAACTACGAGTTTGAAAAAACAGAAACTGATTTAAAATACATCTATCTGTTTGTTAACATAGTAATGATCAGGGGAATCTGGGCTGTTTGGCCACTTGGTGAATCCCAGCTTCAGCATATGTGATAGTACACAGCAAGTTTTGTAACTTAAAGTTCAGTGTCTTCATCCATAAAATGGAGATGAAGTAATATAGCATCTTATAGATGAAATGAGATGTAAAGTGATAAGCACAGTGCCCTGGTACACAGGAAGCATTTCAAAGTGGTAGCCATTATTAATTGAATAATACAATTCTGATGGGAGTGGCCATAGTCCCCTTATCTGTATGCCCATCAGAGAGAGACTGTTAGGCCAGAAAGATGCATCATTAATCTAACCCTGTGGATGATTCTTTTATTCTTTTTTTTTTTGAGACACAGTTTCGGTTTGTCGCCCAGGCTGGAGTGCAATGGCGCGACCTTGGCTGGAACCTCCACCTCCCAGGTTCAAGCGATTCTCCTGCCTCAGCTTCCTGAGTGGCTGGGAATACAGACATGTACCACCACGCCTGGCTGATTTTGTATTTTTAGTGGAGACAGGGTTTCACTATATTGGTCAGGCTGGTTTCTAACTCCTACCTCAAATGATCCGCCCGCCTTGGCCTCCCAAAGTGCCAGGATTACAGGCATGAGCCACTGCTCCCAGCCGATTATTTTATTCTAAATTCGTTGGTATGGTTTTGCTGTACTAGATCCTCAAGTGCCATCTTGTGGGTCCAGAAGGATCTGAGACAATGGACATGGATGAAAGAGCCCACAATTCTAGAGTTTATCACTAGTCACCATTTGGCTAACTACCTCCCTCACCCCTAACAGTGAAATAACAAATCTTTTCCTTAACTTTCTCATCCCCCATACATGATTTGAAGGTGCATGAAAAGCCAACAGGACAGAGCACCAAGGGGTTTTATGATTAATGAAAAAGAGGCTGATCTGGATACTCCCAACATGGATGCCCTGTGACTACTGCTCCTTCCTTTTTATTATGTCCTTTCCCTTCCTGTGTTTTTAACTTTAGCTCTGTGTTTGGACAGATACACTTACAGATGTTAGAACTGGATTTGGATGTTAGAATTGTCTTTCCTTTTTTTCTGTCACCCAGGTGCAGTTGCTCAGTTATGGCTCATTGCAGCATCAACCCCTTGGGCTCAAGTAATCTTCCCACCTCATTTTTTTAATTTTTTTCTGGAGATAAGGTCTCACTGTTATGCCCAGGTTGGTTTCAAACGCCTGGGCTCAAGCGATCCCCTACCTCGGCCTCCCACAGTGCTGGCATCACAGGCTTGAGCATCTTTGAATAGAGACTCTATATACTCCCTTTAATGACAAGAAATGCAGTCCACAGGATAGAATCCTTATTTAACTGCCTCACCACCAGCTGGCACATGCACTTCTTTTCAGTGAGAAAACTGCCTTCACAATTGTCCTGGTTTCTTTCAAGTTTCTGTGGGTGAGGGGAGAAAAGCTGACTATTCTCTTCCTTTGGCTGAAATTAAATCTGGCAGTAATATATGGCCTGGGATTATTCATAGAAGAGTATGATAGTAATTGAAATTACCCCCATGGCTTCCTGCTGGAAAGGATAATAAAAAAAGGTAGGGGGAAGAAAGTATTATACACAGCCAAACACCTGCACGCCTGGTGTTTAGTTTGTCCTTCATGTTAGGTTTGTCTAGGTCTGTTTTGTTGGTTTTTTGGTTTTGTTTTTTAAAGAGACAGAGTCGAGGAGGATCCAAAATGGCCAAATAGGAACAGCTCTGCATTGCAGTTATCAGCAAAAACGAGAGACTGCTGCAGGTGATCCCAAGGCAAGCAGGGTCTGGAGTGGACCTCCAGCAGTCCTACAGCAGAGGGGCCTGACTGTTAGAAGGAAAACTAAGAAACAAAGAAATAACTTCGTTAGCAACAAAAAGGACGTCCACCCAGAGACCCCATCTGAAAGTCACCAACCACAAAGACCACAGGTAGATAAATCCACAAAGATGGGAAGAAACCAGTGCAAAAAGGATGAAAATACTCAAAACCAGAATGCCTCTCCTCCTCCAAGGGATCACAGCTCCTCACCAGCAAGGGAACGAGGCTGGATGGAGACTGAGTCTGACGAATTGACAGAAACAGGCTTCAGAAGATGGGAAATAAGAAACTTCTCTGAGCTAAAAGAACATGTTCTAACCCAATGCAAAGAAACTAAGAACCTTGAAAAAAGATTTGATGAAATGCTAACAAGAATAAACAGCTTAAAGAGGAATATAAATGAATTGATGGAGCTGAAAAACAACAAGAGAACTTTACGAAGCATATACAAGTTTCAGTAGCCAAATCGACCAAGCAGAAGAAAGGATATCAGAGATTGAAGATCAACTCAATGAAATAAAACGAGAAGGCAAGATTAGAGAAAAATGAGTGAAAAGAAACAAACAAAGCCTCAAAGAAATATGGGATTATGTGAAAAGACCTAATCTACATTTGATCGGTGTACCTGAATGTGACAGAGAGAATGAATCCAAGCTGGAAAACACTCTTCAGGATATTATCCAGGGGAACTTCCCCAACCTAGCAAGGCAGGCCACCATACAAGTCCAGGAAATACAGAGAACACCACAAAGTTATTCCTCAAGCAGAGCAACCCCAAGGCACATAATCATCAGATTCACCAGGGTTGAAATGAAGGAAAAAATGCTAAGGGCAGGTGGAGAGAAAGGTCAGGTTCCCCATAAAGGGAAGCCCATCAGACTCGCAGTGGATCTCTTGGCAGAAACCCTGCAAGCAAGACGAGAGTGGGGGCCAATATTCAACATGCTTAAAGAAAAGAACTTTCAACCTAGAATTTCATATCCAGCTAAAGTAAGCTTCATAAGTGAAGGAGAAATAAAATCCTTTATGAACAAGTAATTGCTCAGAGATTTCATCACCACCAGGCCTGCTTTACAACAGCTCCTGAAAGAAGCACTAAACATAGAAAGGAATGACCAGTACCAGCCACTCCAAAAATGTACCAAATGGTAAACAGCATCAACACAATGAAGAAAGTGTGTCAACTAATGGGCAAAACAACCAGCTTGCATCAAAATGGCAGGATCAAATTCACACATAACAATATTAACCTTAAATGAAAACAAGCTAAATGCCCCAATCAAAAGACACAGACTGGCAAATTGGATAAAAAGTCAAGACCCATTGGTGTGGTGTATTCAGGAGACCCATCTCACTTGCAAAGATACACAGAGACTCAAAATAAAGGAATGGAAGATTTACCAAGCAAACATAGAGCAAAGAAAGAGCAGAAGTTGCAATCCTAGTCTCTGATAAAATAGACTTTAAACCAACAAAGATCAAAAGAGACAAAGAAGGACATTACATAATGGTAAAAGGATCAATGCAACAAGAGCTAACGATCCTGAATATAAACGCGACCAATACAGGAGCACCCAGATTCATAAAGCAAGTTTTAATGACCTACGAAGAGACTTAGACTCCCACACAATTATAGTGGGAGACTTTAAACACTCCACTGTCAATATTAGACAGATTAACGAGACAGAAAATTAACAAGGATATCCAGGACTTGAACTCAGACCTGGACCAAGCAAACCTAATAGACATTTACAGAACTCTCCACCCCAAATACACAGAATATACATTCTTCTCAGCACCACATCACACCTACTCTAAAACTGACCACATAATTGGAAGTAAATCACTCCTCAGCAAATGCAAAAGAACGGAAATCATAACAAACAGTCTCTTAGACCACAGTGCAATCAAATTAGAACTCAGAACTCAGAAACTAACTCAGAACCACACAACTTCATGGAAACTGAACAACTGGCTCTTGAATGTTGACTGGATGAACAATGAGATGAAGGCAGAAATAAAGATGTTCTTCAAAACCAACGAGAATGAAGACACAACGTACCAGAATCTCTAGGACACATTTAAAGCGGTGTCTAGAGGAAAATTTATAGCAATAAATGCCCACATGAGAAGAAAGGAAAGATCTAAAATTGACACCCTATTGTCAAAATTGAAAGAGCTAGAGGAGCTGTAGGCCCGAGTGGGTGCTGCTGAAATGGGCAAGTTCATGAAACCTGGGAAGGCGGTGCTTGTCCTGGCTGGACGCTACTCTGGACGCAAAGCCGTCATCGTGAAGAACATTGATGATGGCACCTCAGATCGCCCCTACAGCCATGCTTTGGTGGCTGGAATTGACCGCTATCCCCGCAAAGTGACAGCTGCCATGGGCAAGAAGAAGATCGCCAAGAGGTCAAAGATCAAGTCTTTTGTGAAAGTTTATAACTACAATCACCTGATGCCCACAAGGTACTCTGTGGACATCCCCTTGGACAAAACTGTCATCAATAAGGATGTCTTCAGAGATCCTGCCCTTAAACGCAAGGCCCGACGAGAGGCCAAGGTCAAGTTTGGGAGAGATACAAGACAGGCAAGAACAAGTGGTTCTTCCAGAAGCTGCGGTTTTAGATGCTTTGTTTTGGTCATTAAAAAAGAAAAAGGAAAGAAAGAAAGAGCTAGAGGAGCAAGATCAAAAAAACTCAAAAGCTAGCAGAAGACAAGAAATAACTAAGATCAGAGCAGAATTGAAGGAGATAGAGACACAAAAAAATCCC